CGTTTTTTATGGTATAATTTGCATGTTTTTACTAAAATCAATTTTAATTTCCTTTTCATATTATTCTTTATTAATATACAGAAATGAAACAATTTTGTGTTGATTTTGTATTCTGCAAATTTGGTGAATTTATTAGTACTAAAGGATTTTTTGTAGATTCTTTAGTTTTTCCTACATATATGTTCATGTCATGTGTGACAGAGTTAATGTTATATCTACTTTTCCAAATGAATGCCCTTTATTTCTTTTTCTTGCCTAATTGTTCTGGCTAGGTCTTCCAAAACTGTGTTGAATAGAAATGGTGAAAACATCATTCTTGTCTTACTCCTAATCTTGGAGAAAAATGTTTTACAATTGTGTAAGCTGTTATTCACGAGCTTTTCTTACTTTTTTTTTTTTTATCACATTGAAGTAGTTTCTCTCTAGTTTCTTTCTGACTTGTTGAGTGCTTTCATCATAGGAAAGCATTGAATTTTTTTTCTTCCAAATTTTTATTTATAATTCCAGTTACTCAACATAGAGTGTAATATTGGTTTCAGGAGTAGAATTTAGTGATTCACCACTTACATATAACACCCAGTGCTCACCATAACAAGTGCCCTCCTAATACCCATCACTCATTTAACCCATCCCCCACTCACCTCCCTCCATCAACCCTCAGTTGGTTCTCTATGGTTAAGAGTCTCTTGTGGTATGCTTTCTTCTCTCTCTCCCTCTCTTTTTTTTTTTTACCCTTGCCATATGTTCCTCTGGTTTGTTTCTTAAATTCCACATATGAGTGAAATCATATAGTAATTGCATTTCTCTTACTGACTTATTTCGCTTAGCATAATACCATCTAGGTCCATCCACATCATTGCAAATGGCAAGATTTCATTCTTTTCGATGGCTGAGTAATATTCCATCATATGTACATATACTACATCTTCTTTATACATTCATCAGCTGATGGACACTTGGGCTCTTTCCCTAGTTTGGCTACAGAATGGGAGAAGATACTGCAAAGACATATCTGATAAAAGGTTAGTATGCAAAATCTATAAAAAAAACTTATCAAACTTGATACCCAAAGAACAAATAATACAGTTAAGAAATGGGCAGAAGACATGAATAGACATTGTCCCAAAGAAGACATATAGATGGCCAACAGATACATGAAAAGATGCTCAACGTCACTCAACATCAGGGAAATACAAATCAAAACCACAATGAGGGAGCGCCTGGGTGGCTCAGGAGGATAACCATCTGACTTTGGCTCAGATCATGATCTCAGGGTCCTGGAATCCAGCCCCACGTTGGCCTCAGCACTCAGTGGGGAGTCTGCTTGATTTTCTCTCTCCCTCTCCCGCTTTGCTCTCTCTCTTCCTCTCTCTCTCAAATAAATAAATAAATCTTTAAAAAAGAAATCCATGAAGAGATACCACCTCACACCTGTCAGAATGACTAAAATCAACCACACAGGAAACAACAAGTGTTGGCAAGGATGTGGAGAAAGGGGAACTCTTTTACACTAATGGTGGGAATGCAAACTGGTGAAGCCACTCTGGAGAACAGTATGGAGGTTCCTCTAAATATAAAAAATAGAACTACACTATGATCCAGCAATTACACTACTAGGTATTTACCCAAAGATTGCAAAAATATAGATTCAAAGGGGTACATGCAATCGGTTGTTTACAGCAGCACTATCAACAAGAGTGTTGAACTTTGTCAAATATTTTCTCTGCATCAATTTAGATCATCATTTACCCCTTTCCTTCTGTTTATTTGGTGTGCTATATTGATTTTATTCTGTTGAACAAACCTTGCATTCCAAGAATTAATCCCATTTGGTCATTGCATATCATCCTTTTAATGTGCTGTTAAATTCTGTTTGGAATTATTTTGTTGAATATTTTTGAACAAAGTTCAAGCGTGATAATGGTCTGTACTTTTCTCATAGTGTCTTTTTCTGATTTGGGTATTACAGTAATGCTGGAATCATAATATTTTGGAAGAATGTCAGGAGGATTCGTATTAATTTCACTTTAGATGTTTGTTACTATTCACCTTTGAAGCCATTTGTTCCTCGGGAGTTTTTTAGTTGGGAAGATTTTGATTACTGATTTGAACTCCCTACTCAATATTGCTCTAAGTTTTTTTATTCATTTATGATTTATTTGCAGTATGTTGTGCATTTCTGGGAATGTAACCATTTCTCCCAGGTTATCTAATTTGTTGGCATACCAATTTTCATAATATTGTAATTATTTTTATTTCTAATATATATTTATTGTCTATTCTTTTATTACTGGTTTTGGTCATTGGGACTTCTCTCTCTTTTCCTTAGTCAACTTAACTAAATGATTGCCAGTTGTCTTGATCTTTTTGAAAAACAAACTTGGTTTTGTTTATTTTTACCATTGCTTTTCTATTTACCATATTTATATCTGCTCTGATCTTTACTAATTCTGACCTCCTAGTATTTTGGCTTAGTTTGTTCTGTTTTTCTAGTATTTCGCTGTGTTAAGTTAGACTGTTGATTTAAGATCTTGTTTTTCTTAATGTATCTGAAGCTATAAAGACAACATTATATAAAATAGCTATTATATTACATGCATTGTGCTGAAATCAAACAAAACACACAGACAAAACTCATCAATCTATATTTTTTTAAAAGAATTTATTTCTTTGAGTGAGGGAAAGAGAGAGAGAGATCACAGAAGGAGAGGCAGAAGCAGACTTGCTGATGACTGAGAGGAGAGCTGGGTGTGGGGTTCGATCCCAGGACCCTGAGATCATGACCTGAGCCGAAGGCAGCCGCTTAACTGACTGAACCACCCAGGCGCCCCTGTAATTATTTTTTACTACATTTTGCTATTCCATATATTCTTGAAGTTATGTATATTGATTATATTTACATGGTGTAAATGCATCTCTTCCCAACTCTACATTAATTGTTATCAGTAACTTGAAATTGGCAAATGCCACACAGGGCATTTTCCCCAAACCACCCCCTCCCCCAGAGAGACTTTTGATAAACACCTACACACATATCACCGGTTGAATTTGATCCACTCAGCAGATTCTCTCACGTGGGGGATATCCTCAGACCCAACCAATGCTGTTATTAAAAAAAATGAGAGTCAAGGCCTAACTTACACTATTCTACAAAGTGAGGTTTTGAATCTGTGAACTGGAGTGGTACATGAAAAAAAGGTTAGATATTTAATATTTATGAAAAATTCCTACAATGCCCATAATATGCCACACTGAGGAGAATTTTTAAAAAGTATAGAGCAGTGTGTGTACACGCATGCACCTCTGTGGGGTGCATTTGTGTGGGGAGGTGGGGGCTGATGCATCAACATCAGGTCTAAAAGGTTCTGCCATAGGAGGGCAGGTGGGACTCAGAAAAATGAAAGGGTCCAGGGCAAAGGGGCTCACTCCTTCTCCCAGTCTCCATCACTTCATTTCTCTTTTCCTCCCTCTTCTCCTGCCACATCCTTTAACTCTAAATGTACTTTCTCTTTTACCAACTCAGCAGTGGGACTGTGGTGCACCTGGGACACAGTTGCACAGCAGGGTTTTAGTCCTTTTTCAGGCAACACTGCTTCCTCCCTCAGTGAGTATGTGGGTTTGTTTATCTAATATCTGGGAGAGGAGGGGTTTTGGGATCACTGATTTAAGTATCAAATGAGGGAAGGGAGGAAAGCATGAGATGGATGTCAGTCTTGCCCTATGGGCCGAGTGATTCGCATGGTTATCTGGCATTAGCAAAAGACGATAAGAAGCCTGACTTCTTAAGGCCTGAAACAAGAAAGCATAAGTTGTCATCAGATGTCATCACCATCAATCATCTTGGGTACGAATGAAGGAGGCAAGGCAGGAAGGAGAAAACATGATGGGAAACAGGGCATAGCCAATTGAGCTTTCTGGCTTCGGGGCAGGGTCTCCAGTTCTTCCTTTGTGTGGAACATCAGCAGAGGACTGAGAAACAATGGCTGGTAAGATCTGATCCACGACTACATATTGCTACCTTGAGTACAAAACAGAGAGACTGTTTTTGAAAGACTCTTCTGACTGGATGTCTGCCGTTTCAATTTGGAACCTTTCACTCAGCAGTTGAGATAGAGACAGAGATAGATCATTTTTTAGAAGGTAAATTATTAGTTAATTTACGGCCTGACAGAGAAGGGAGTCTTCCCCATCCATCGTTGGCCAAAAATTTCCCCTGAAACACTTGTGGTGCAAGAGGGTGGTATTAATGCTTAGCTCAGAGAGCTACTGTGAGGCTCTGTGTGTTTAGCATAGAGGGGGCACAAAATAAATGCATGGTAATGATGCGTCCTCATATTTCACAGGTCCGTTCAAAGTAGGCTCTGGGTCTAATTCACCTCCCCTCTTTGATTCTTCTGGCCCCGATTGGCTTCAGCGTCTCCCACTGTAAAATACACATTGGACTCGAATCCAGCTGGCATTCACTTGGCCATGTGTTGGCCTGACTGGATGTTTTCTTTGGCCCACCTGTCCAGGTCTTAAAGAGGAAACCAGAGCCAACATGTTAAAATGGAGGTATTCTACATAGATATCTAGAATTCCCTTTTCCTCTTGAAAAATCAGGAGATGTGGCAGTGCAGAGTCCACATTCCTGCATGGCAGCAATCGGCTGGAGCCAGGTGGCAGCTGGCCCCTTAGGTAGAGCATGCACTGCGAGTTGGCCAGAGCCTGTCTGGACTGCTCCACTCATTTATAGGACCTGCTTGACCCTGCAGACAACTCAATTTGGGGCCCTCCGGACAGCTGGAAACAGTCTATGCCAAGCAGAAGGTAGGCACTTACTTGGTCAATGAGTAAAACGCCTACTCCTCTTTATCTCTCCCATTTTCTTGTCTAGTGGTGTTAAGAAATCCCAGTTATTGCGTAAGGTGAGTCTCACTTTGGAAAGTAAAGTGAACAAGTCTGTTAGAGTCAGGATGGTCTATGTTACACTGTGGTAACAAACAACTCCTCTATCTCACTGCCTTACAACAGCGAGGGTTTATTATTTGTTCACACACATCAATCCAGACATGAAATGAACACACCCTTCTATTTTGACAAGCATGGATACATACGTGAGTGCACGGCTATGTTTGCAATCACAAGTCAAAAGAAAACTCTGGCATATGAACATAGGACCTCCCACAGAACCCTATTTAGAGACTGATCAGCTCAGATTGCACAACCCTGTTTTTCTAAGAGACATAAAAAGGCCCCAATATCCAAGGCAGTAAGGGATGGAGGTACAAGGATATCCACCCTCAGCCAAGGAATTGCCCCATATAATAAAAAGGGTCTGAAAAGCTTGTAAAAGAACCTGAAGGTTAAAAAAAAAAAGAAAGGAAAATGTTAAGCATATTGGATATTAAACATTTTGCAAATGCATAAATAGGCAGCACTCTAGTGAGGCCTCCTCTTCTGGGCTTCTAGCTCAAGAGGGAGATGCACCCCAGATGTCCAATAGGCAGAGAAATGGAGCTGGCTGGCCTGGGTCGCAGAGAGGGGCTAGGAGGCTGGGGTCCTGTATCTCCAGCGGGAGCTGCACATAGAAAGGAAGGCATCAGAGCCAGGTCACATCCATTTCCCCTCCAGGCTCTCCCCTCTCTTCTGTTCCACCCGATCTAGGCTTTGTCACCTGGACTACACACTGCAGCACAGAACCCTTCCTCGCTGATTTGCTCATCTTGGGTCTTGCCTCCTCCGATCCCTCCGTCAAAGCCACCACATTTCTTTTTGTGGAGCCCAGGCTCTTTGCATATGCTCCTCCCTAGCTCACACATTCCCTGGCTCCTCACCACCCACAGTTTCTGGTGTAGCCCCTCAGCCCACCATCCAGGACCTCTGTGAGTGGCCCCCTCTCCAGCCTCATGCCCTTCTGTTCCAGCAGTTCCTCCTTCACTCAGGTCGCTGCTGCACCCATACACTCGTCCCACACCCAACATTTTGTTCTGGCAAAGCCCAGCCTTCCCTCTCAGCCTTCCCAGGCATGTAGCTGTCCTCAGACTTCCTCTGGTCCTTCTACTCCAGGCTCATCTATTGAAATTTAGCCACAAAACACAAAGGAAGTATGAAGGCATCCAGGTCGACATGGAGACTGGAATCAAAGATCAGCTCTCCCTCCAGCCTGGGCTTTTATCACCTATGTATATCCTGCCCACCACCCCTGTGTGGGTAGAAAGCTCTGGGCTGAGAACCAGGAGAACTGGGTGTTCCACCTGATAGGCTGCATGCCCCAGTGCACGTCGCTGCCACTCGCAGGGCCTCAGTTTCCTCGTTTCTTGACGCCAGGGCCCTGTGCATTTGCTGTTGAGCACTGAGCTCGATAAACTGATGATTCACCATCATCAACCATCGACTGCCATCTCTGGCATCAGACCGAGGAGCTTGTGTGCCTGGGCCCAAGGCATTTCAGCCCACTAACCCTGGCCTCCCAGTTACGACAATGCCCTCCCATTTGCCAACCCTCCCCACCACCCCGTGTTCTCCTTTCAAGGACCAGGCTACCTGCCGCCGTGGAGGGCTGCAGCAGGGAGACAGAGCCAGAAGACGCCTGGGGAGAGTCTCTCAGAATCAGCAGAGCCTCGGCCGCTTCCAGCTTCCGCTGCCACTCTGAGGCAGAAACCGAGTCCTGGTCAGAAGTTTCAGGAGCCTGCAATGGAAAGGGTGTGAGAGAATGGGACCTGAAAAGCCATGCCTCCCCACCTCATGGGGCCAGTGTCCCTTTAGTCCCGGGTTCCGCTGAGGGCCCCACCCACGCACCCAGAGTGAATACCAGTGGGGACTTCAGCTCTTCCCAGTCACTAAGCTTGGCCCCTGCCAGGGTTCTGGACCCTGCACTTTTCCCAGGATCTGTGGCTGCAGGAGGACATGGCCAAGGATGGATGGCCACAGGGCTGGAGGACCAGCGCTGAGCATCTAGAAACAAGGAAAAGAGAAGCCAGGGGATTCAACCCTCTGACAGACACATACTATCAATAGAGAAACAGGGCCAGGATCTTGCAATATCTGGATGTGGGTTCTGAATGCCGGCGGGCGATCAGCCATTGTGGCTTGCACAAGTCCTTTACCCTGTTTGGTCTGTTTTCCTTTCTATGTCCTTCTTCACTATCTCTCCCGAGATGCTAATTCCTGTCAGCATTTCAAAAACTCCCAGGGCAATGATGACGATTGTGGGGAATCCCAGGTGTCTGTGTTCTAATCTGCAAAGCACACTGAGTAGTGGGATCATGGTCCCCGTCCAGGGACTGGTTCTCACCTCCATATTCCCCAACCCCATGGAGCTTGAAGGACCAGCTTGGCTCATCTAATAGCCTGGAAGCTTTCTCTAATGACCTCTGGACTCTGCCCCTGGGCCCCATGGCCCTCACCATCTTGGCACGTCCCCCCCTTTTCAACAGGACCTTCTATCCCATCCATCTGTTTCATGTGGAATAAAGGCCTCCGTTAGTTGAAGTCCGGCTACGTGGCACGCCTTGGCCTAGTCAGTGCTTGTAAGTGTGGGATATCGTCCCCATCAGCACACTGCTAGTACACACGGGAAATGGAGGCTTGGAAATGTAATGTCACGTGTGCAAAGTCTCACAGATAGGCAACGGCAAGGCTGGGAGAGGCCTGTCCTTGCCCGCTAGTCTGAGATGCTGCCTTCTCCACTCCTCCTCCTCCTCCCCCGACCCCTCCTCCCCCTGCCGCTTCTTGTCCTGCTCCTCTCCTCCCCCTCCTCCTCCTCTTCCTCATCAGCCGCCTCCTCCACTCCCTCCTTCTGTATCCCACAGCATCAAGCACAATGGTTGGGCACCTGATAACACAATATACAACTAGCTCCATGTGCCTTTTCACTTTACTCACATGCTGGGGAGGGCAGGAGTTCTGTGGGGCTTCCTGGAAAGAGAAATTGTTCGTTGCATCTTCAAGGCTGCTGGAGTCCAGGACAGAGACAAAGAATTTGGGGCTTGACCAGTCAGCAGAGCTCCTTGGGCGCTTGCCTGGAGGAGCAGAGAGCACAGGGTGGAGTCAGGCACCAGGCTGGCCATGGAGAGGAGATATGTATGGGTATGTTCTGGCATGAGGATAGGAGCCCAGAACGTCAGAGCTGAGCAGACCTGGAAGACCAGCCAGTTCCTACTCTTCATTTTCCACGTGGTGAAATTGAGGCCCAGGGAAGATAAGTATTATTTCCCCAAGGTCATATGGCAAGCTGCAGTAGGGTTAGGGAGGGAACCCATGTCTTCAGGACACAGAGAAGAGTCTGGGCTGTGAGTGAGATGGGAACCTCCCCCACAGGCCCCAGGCTCTCCTTACCTCCCTGGGGGTTGCACGGGGGTGGGTGGGCCTCAAGCTGGGACATGATGTTCTCCTTCCCAGTTGTGGACACCTGGGGACACTTTAGGTGAGCCTTTCCCCCTGACCACACCCCACTCTTCCTCACCCCCAGTTTGAGGTCTGATCTCACCATGGACCATTTTACCTCCCAGATCTCTTCTTCCTACCAACACTTGGTAGATAATGTTGATGACGTCTATTAGGTGGGGCAGCTGAAGGCCCAAGGAGTAATTTGCCAAGGCCACATCAAAACTGGGTAGTAGGACTGGCGACAGAACTGCTCAAAGCTCCCTACCCCCAAACCCAGACGCCCTCCCTGGCCAGAGACACTCACTGAGGGCTCCTGCTTGAATGATCAACTTCTTGACATGGCTGTGAGCTTTGGGAGGGGAGGCCTCACTCCTTGTCAGTCCTTGAGCCAGGTGCCTCTTCAGGTGTGCCCCCTGCTCCCTCTTCAAGGCACTCTCAGCAGGCAAGACACTGTGGTGTTCCCTAAAGTGGGGGATTACAGGTCAACAGTCAGTCACATTTAGGGGAGGCCCACTCCCCATACCCACACCCCCTGTCAGACACCATACTCACGAGAAAAAGGCACACTTGGGACAATCGCAAGCCTGGAAGAGGCAGAGGTGCTCCTGGTCCTTGATTTGGTCAGTGAAGCCGTGGTTGTAGCAGCGGGCACAGCGACTTACAGCTCTTTTAGGGCCAAGTTCAATCCCCCACGGGGCTCCGGTCTCAAGCCCAGTGGGGGAGTCGGAGGGGCAGCAGGGCACAGCAGGCATTTCATTGGGATCCATGGTTCTAGGGCCAGGAGTGGAGGTCAGGATGGCCACATGATCCCCTACCCTTAACGTACTTCCTCTGCCCTTTGAAAACCCCACCTGAGGTGCCTGGATTCTTCTTCACCCAGGTCACCGCTGAAATCACATCGCACCCACCCTTCTCACTCACGTAGCCTCCTTCCCAGGAAGCCCCACTCACGCATAGCCCCATTCCAAGAACTCTTGGCATGGTTCCTGTAAACTTTCAATCCAACTGCTAATCTCCTTGCTTACCTTCCCTCTACATAGAACCCATTTTCAGGCATACGCATGCACTCCTGTGCCCCCTTCCACAATTACTGCCCTCCCCTTCTCGTGGATCATCCTGTACTCTGCCATACCTCACTGTTTTCCCTGCCATCCACTTCCACAATTATCTTCCTAACCTCCTGCCTTCATTCCCTCCCTATTCATGATTTTGGCTGCGCCCCCCCCCCACTCAATTCTATTATTAGTATGTCCTACATTCAACTTTCCTCTCACACCCCATTCTGATTTTCTTCCTGCACTCCACTGTAAGCTTAATTTTTCTCTCAGCAAACCCCCACTACTTTAAGCTGACAACCCCTTTGTACCCCATGAAATTTGATTATGCTGCTGGATGCCAAGCCCCTCTTTCAATAATTATTTTTATTCATCCCTTCGATTGTTCATTGACTAGACCCTTGTTGAGCCCCCTATCGAATGCCAGACCCTGATCTAGTCAACAGCCGACCCCTCACCACACTAATTGTTTTCTTCCGCCAACAGAACCCTCTCTGCTCTCATGCAAACCCATGTATTCCCTGCCCAGCCCCCAACAGTCTTCCATGCTCCTCTTCACACTTCAACGGTTATGTTTGGGTACACCTTCCCCGTCCCTCACATCTGGGGTGCACCACCTCATCTCAGGCAGCCCATTCGCAGCCACTACCACATCAGAATCAAAGGATCAAAGGCAGGGGCATGAGCCCTGCCTCAGGTTCCAGAGGCCAGGGGTCAGGGGGCTGAGGTGAGGGTTTCCTCCCACAGGTTGTTGCTTGGTGGGGGGCGGGGAGGGGGGGAGAGGGGACGGGGCAGAGTGGGACATCAGGAGGTACTCCACTGAGGTGGAGGAGAGGAGAAGGAGTTGGTCATCCAGAGCAGGAGGGAGGGAGGAAAGAAGATGTGTGGAGAACGAGGGTCCTATTCCTGATGCCAGCCTGTGGTTACCTCAGCCGCCCGCAAGTAGAGATCCAACAGCAGGGACAGAAGGTGGGAGGGAAGACCCAGCTCTCTCTCCCTTTCCTTCCCTTCCCACGAAGGCCAATGAGCTTCCAGCGCTGCCTTCCTCCTCCCACGGCTGTGGCCGGTGACCCGTGAGCTTCGAGTTCAGTTGAAGTTCACCCACCAAAGTCCCGCCCCTCTCGCCTCCCTCCCACTTCTCCGTGTGCTGGCTTTACTAAGCCAGTCAGTAACTCATGAAGTGAGGTAAAGCGAAGCTTTGTGCTCCCTAAACCTTGTTTCCCAGACTTTTCTCTCTTGGGATGTGAAATATTATATGTGCATGCATATTTAACTCATGTCCTTGATATCCTGTAACTTACTCTTACAAAATTCCGCATATGTTTTTAAGATTCATCCATATTCCTACGTCAGGGATTGTCAATCAGGGGGGCAATTCTACACCCCCAGGGAACAATTGGCAGTGCCTGGAGTCATTTTGGTCCATCTTTGCCGTGTCTCTGTGTCTGAGCTCCCTCTTCGGTTCCACAGATAAATTTGTCTATTCCTGTGCTGATACTACACCATCTTCATTTTTACCTCTTGATAAGAAGACATCTTGATCTATGGTAGGGCAAGTCCCCACATCTTATTCATAATCTTCAAACATATCTTCCTTATTCTTCACCTTTTGCCCTTCCAGTATAAGCGTCAGAATCAGCATGTCACGATCCTGGAAAACTCATTTGCAACAGATTGGGGCTGCATTTTCATTAAATCTGTGGATAAGTTCCGGGAGAATTGACCATCTTTAGGACCCCACCCAGCCCTCCTAGTCACCAACATGGCATATCTCTCCGTTTATGTGGGGCTTCCTTAACGTTTCCATCTTCAGTTCAGTATTTAGTTTTATCTTTTGTACATTCAGATCTTGTACATCTTTTCTTGCATTTATCCCAAGATACTCTAGAGTGTTGTTGCTCTTGTGCGTGTTATCCACCTAAAATGACATTTTCTAATTGTATCTAACTTACAGAAATCCATTTGACTTTTTAAAAACTATATTGACCTTAAAGTCAGCCTCCCTGCTAAACCCTGTGATATCGAACCATTTGTCTTTGGACGTTCTGCAGTTTTTCATGGATCTGTGACTTACAGAAGCACAATAAGCGATTTACAGGTTTCTTAAACCTGTACTGGCTGCCCAGGGCATCCACTACAAGGTCAAACAGACATGACCAAATTCGACCTCTTTGGGTTGTCCCTAATATTAAATAGAATGCTGCCAACATTTCCATAATAAAATGTGTTTCCTGGGGTTCACTCTTTCCTTCCTCCTTGACTTCCTCCCTTCCTTCCTTCATTCCTCCCTCCCTCTCTCCCTCTGTTCCTTCCTTCTTTCCTTCATTCCTTCCTTCCTTTTCTTGTTTCCTCTTCCTTTCTTCCTTTCTCTCCTTTCTTTCTTTCTTCTTAATTTCTTTCTTCTTTCTTTTTTCTTTCTTTCTTCTTTCTTTCTTTGCCTCTATAAGACTAAGGAGTTTTCCATTTATTTCCAGTTTAAGAAGTTTGTCTTAAAAATCATGAATAGATATTGAATTTCACTTTTTTGTCTCTATTGAAATGATCAAGAGTCTGTTTAGTTTGTTAATACAGTGTTATTTGTAGATGCTTTTTTCAAAATATTTAATGAAGTTTACAATCACAAAAAGACAAAATTCACAA